CGCCTTTCCCTCCCGCTAATTAACACCGCTAATTAACACCGCTAATTAACACCGCTAATTAACACCGCTAATTAACACGGCTAATTAATACCGCTAATTAAACCCTCAGCCGAGCCACAACGGGCTCGGTCCTCCAGCACCATAAAGCGCGGCGGACAGAGCGGCCGCGGGAACACTTCCGGTGCGAACAGGAAGTTCCGCCAGTATCCCATAACCCCCCGCGCGGCCGCGCTCTCTCCTTCTCTCCGTGACGCCGCCGCCATGGTGGGTCCGGTTGGGGCTCCGCCATCCGCCGCCATCCGCCGCCATCCGCGGCCGGGAGGGCCCGGGAACAGCGTGGGAGGGCCCGGGGAGCTGCGGGAGGGCTCGGGGGGCGCGCGGGGGGCGGAAATGGCGCGGTCGGGGCGGCCGATGCGGCCCCCGCGCTGACCGGGCCCGGTGTCGCCTCAGGGCATCGATATCCGCCACGATCGGGACCGAAAAGTGCGGCGGAAGGAGCCCAAGAGCCAGGACATCTACCTGAGGCTGCTGGTCAAGGTGAGGCGGGCCCGGTTCCACCGGGATCCAGCCCGGGATTACCGGGAACCGGAACCGGGATCGCCGGGATCCATTCCCGGTTTTACCGGAATCCATCCCCGGTTTTACCGGGATCCCCTTCCCGGTTATTCCGTTTTTTCCCGGTTTTCCCCGTCTTTTCCCACTTTCCTCCCATTTTTCCCGGTTTTCCCATATTTCTCCCAATTCCCCTCATTTTCCTCCTTTTTTTTGCCGTTTCCTCCCCCTGTTTCCCCAATTTTCCCTCATTTCCGCTCTGATCGTTTCCGGTTTTTCCCGATTTTTTCCCATTTTCACCCCAATTTTTCCGGATTTCCCCCGGTTTTTTCCTGTTTCCCCCATTCCTACCCCGTTTTTTTCCATTTTACCCTATTTTTACCCCAATTTCCCCCTTTTTCCTCATTCCACCCCGAATTTCCCCGGTTTTTACTGATTTGCCCCATTTTCATCCCGATTTTCCCAATTTCCCTGGTTTTTCCCCATTCCCACCCCAATTTTCCCATTTTCACCCCATATTTTCCCATTTTACCCCATTCTTCCCGTTTTCTCCCATTTCCACCCCGATTTTTCCCAATTTCCTCTGTTGTTCCCTCATTCCTACCCCTATTTTCCCATTCTCACTTCAATTGTCCCAATTTCCCCGTTTTTTCCCCTATTTTCATTCCGATTTTTCCCATTTTCACCCCGATTTTCCCAATTTCCCCATTTCCCCCCCATTTTCACTCCAATTTCCCCAATTTTCCCTTTTTTTCCTCTGTTTTTTTCCTATTTTTCCCCCATTTTCACTCGGTTTTTTCCCCGATTTCCCCCATTCTCACCCCGAATTTTCCCATTTTTCCCATTTTTTCCCCATTTTTTTCCCATTTTCCCCCATTCTCACCCCGAATTTTCCCACTTTTCCCGGTTTTTCCCCATTTTTTCCAGCTGTACCGGTTCCTGGCGCGCCGCACCAACGCTCCGTTCAACCACGTGATCCTCAAGCGCCTCTTCATGAGCAGAACCAACCGCCCCCCGCTGGCGCTGTCCCGCCTGGTGAGCCCCAAAATCCCGGGAATTTACCCCAAAATATCGGGAATTTATCCCGGAATTCCTGGGGTATGGCTGAGCCCCGAAATCCCGGGAATTTAACCCAAAAAAACCCGGGAATTCATGAGCAGAACCAACCGCCCCCCGCTGGCGCTGTCCCGCCTGGTGAGCCCCAAAATCCCGGGAATTCACCCCAAAATATCGGGAATTTATCCTGGAATCTGTGTGG